TCCCTGCCGGGAGCGCCTCCCCGAGCCTGCAGCTGGGAGTGTGCAGGTTCCTGGAGAGGATGCTTGAAAATGGAGCACTGGGGCGAGCCGAGGGGTGGGGGAGGAAAGGAAGATTTCATAGAAAGAGACCAGCGACCAGAACGTCTCTCCTCGCCTACCTTCGACCCTCCCTCCGAGGCCCAATGTTTTTACTTCCTACCAAGCATTTAAACAGATCCCTTATTTCCGACATGGTCCATGCGTTCTTTTTTCTTCCCCCAAGGTGAGACCCCAAGAATAAAGAGGAAATATTACAATCAAGGGGACTGGCCCCATTATTCTGTCTCTGTGTGCTGAGAGAAGACACCTATTCTAAATCCTCATTATCTACCTGTGCATTCTTTCCTCGCAATCTGAAGCCCCTTGTATTGTGTAGAAAGCCTATTCTGCACAAAGCTTCCAAGAGACCCAATCACAGTGAGGTGGGGGTGGGGGGAGACTTTCTAATGGCTGAGGACAAACTGGTTAAGTTTATCCTTGTTAGTCTCTTTCAGTGAGGGTGGTGGTGGTGGTGGTGGTGGTGGTGGTGGTGGTGGTGGTGATGGTGGTGGTTTTTAAGACACCCCTTAGTGATGGATGACCAGTAGAACTGTCCCACCTGTAGAAGGGAAACTTGAAGCAGGAAATGACCTTATTTGCAATTAATGCAAGATGGTTGGTCCTCCCCTCAAATGCCCTTCCATACCCCAGCCCCAAGCTCTTGCTACCTTCATCCGGCAATTCCGATGAGGGCCTGCAGTCCCCCTAGAGGTCTTCCAGGACCACATTCATGTGCTAGGCTCCCAAACAGCATTTCTGGTCAAAGCCAACCTCCCTGGCCTGGGCCCTGAGTTCTGCCTTCCTGGGACAGCTTCCCACCACTTTCTCTTGCTGAAGTCGAGGGGCCTGGCCAAGCTGGACAAACAGTTGCCTAGGGCAGCAAGCTGTTTAGGGATTGTTTGTTATGGGAGTGACTGAGCTGGGGACACACACTTCCCAGTTCCCCTCAGGCTGCAAAAAACCTCCAGTGGGCGTGGACAAAGACCATGGTTAGAACAAGTCTGGGTGAAATGATCAAGTGGAAAATTTTAAACATTTGTTGTTTCAGATTTGTTTTAATAAAGTGCGGGGGGTTGTAAGGTCTAGAAGCATTCCCAGCCAGAGAAAGACAAAGCTGAAGCCATCTGTACATTCCTGAAGCCTCTCCTTATTGCTGACATGCCAAAGATGAGGTAGCTTTTCCAGATTTGACTTGCGTCCCCACACAGCGTGGAGACGCCTGGGACAGAAATGAGAATTCAGTCATCTTCTAAATACGATGACAACAATGCAGATAAATGCGAACCACATGTGATCCAGGGCTTCCCCAACCCCCAGCCCCTGGTGGCTGAGAGCAGCCATCCAAGGCTTCCTTCTGTTGAGATTAGGACTTAGACTATCTGGGCCCTGTAGACGTTGGGGCTGTGGGGATTGCAGCCCCCCTAAATCCAACCAGTTGTCCTGTGTGACCTTAGGGGGAGCCAGCGACTGTCCTTGCTCTTTTGCGTTCTCCTCCTGCTTTGGCACATGTTTCTTGCCTTGGCTAACTATTGCTGATTCCCTCATCCCACGCCCCGGTGCGCCCCAGCCCTGCTCTCACATTCCACAGTGGTGCATATTGTGAGAAAAACTTCAGCACTGAAAATTAGAGGAAACTTGGAATCAGACCCCAGTTCTGTCATTTACTAGTGCCTTGGGCATGTGGCTCAATCTCACTGAACCTCCGTTTCTCAAGGAAAAAGTCAGAATAATACTTTTCTTCCCAGCCTCTTTGAATCTGTAAACTGGGATTTGCTCTGCCTGTGTAACATTTTTAGCCTAAGTTCCCCATTTCAAAATACAACTGGAATCTAAAGTAGCCCCTACAATTGCATCTCCCTCTGTTTTATTTTCTTCCTAGCCCTTCTCATTAGCAGGAATCTCGTATTTGTTTGCTGGTTTACTGTCTGTATTTCTTCCCTAAAGAGAGCTCCCTGAGAGCAGGAGCCTTGTCTGCCTTACTCACTCCTGAATCCCCAAGGCCCAGGGTAGTTCCTGACACTTAGATGGAGCTCAATCACTGATTCCAATGAATGAACAAATTACTAAAATTTGGCTTCCCCACCGCACTTGATCATGCTTGAAAAGAAAGACCCCTGTGGTCATCTCCCAAAGCAGGGCTGAGTCTCCTGTTCTAGTGGAAATATTACTAGCCAGGAATATCTTCGCAGATGGCAAGTCAGCCCATCATAAATGCTCCAACAACAAGTGTTATATCATGATTTCCTCTGTTCAAAGCCCTCAAAGGACCTCTGTCTCTTCTTGCCAGACCCCTTTCACATCATTTCCTGCCGGTAACTCTCTCCCTCCAGCCCAGTTTACTCACCCTTCCCTAGGCAGGTTGGTTTCCTTGCTGTCTCTCGGGCATGCCAAACATGCCCCTGCCTCAGGGCCTTTGCACATGCTTGCCTCTGCCAACATCTACATGACACACCTGCTCACTTCTTTGAAGTCTCTTCTCAAATGCCACCTTATTATTGAGGCCTTCTTTGACCACTCTAAATAAAATAGCAAATCTTCCCCCATCTTCCTATCCCCTCATCCTGCTTTATATATTCCCCTAACACTAACCAATGTCTGACATACTATATATTGACTAGTTAATTTATTAATTGCATCTAGACTGTGAGCTCCATGAGGCAAAGACAAGGTCTTTTTGTTCCCTGCTATATTCCCAGCACCTACAACAGTGCCCATTAAATAAGTACTGTATTTATTGAAGTAATTAATTAATTTGATCCTATTGTTGGTAGGACAAATAGAGAATGTTCAAGGCTAGAATTATATTTTATCACAAAGAGAGAGAGAGAGAGAGAGAGAGAGAGAGAGAGAGAGAGAGAGACGCTTAACTTATCCCAGTGACTCAAGCCTTGCTTAATTTCCTTTTCCAGGAGTAATTCTTCCCCAGGGCTGATTAAAGACCTGAAAACAGTATGGCATACACAAACCCCAGAAGATGTAGATGTTCATCTTGTTTCTGCCATTCACTCTCTAATCTTAAATGGCTCACTTCACCTTCCTCAACTTTGGATTGTCACTGGTAAAATTGGGAGTAACTGTAACATAAGATATACTGTGGTCAGCTAGCACTGGGTTAGTGTGAGAATCCAGTGAGAAGAAATGGATACTACATGTGAAGGCCCTTTGCAGTCCACAATGCACTTAGCAAATGTAGGATGTGGCTGTCACACTGTTAGACAAATATGGTCACGAGGGCATGAGATCACGTTTGTAAGTCAACAGCATTACACACAAGAAATATCACCCACCAAAAATACACAACAGTTTCCAGATGCTTAACAGACTCTGGAATGGTCATTGACTGTTGTCAGCAAACAGGAAAAGGGAAGAAGGAAAACTCACCAGTGGACAAAAATCAAAGAAAACTTGGAATGTATAAGGCACCAAAGGCACACATGCTTTTCAAGGGCCTACAATTATATTTGCCATATTTGGATTTATTCCAAAATGTGGAAACAAAGTATTAAAATTAACAAATGTTTAAATTCTCTAAAATGTAACTCTAGGTTGACTGGCCAGGCAATCCAATCTTCATAAAGTTATATAAGATTTTTATTTGATGTGGGCATCAAACAAAACATTGCAGTGTTTTGATGACGGGTGATGGGTTCTCTAATGGTGAGAGCATCCCTGGGTCCTGGACAGGCTGGGAAACTGCTGATTGGTTGTGCAAGGTGGGGAAGGACAAGGAGGCCAAGGAAAGTTGGGGCATCATGAAGGATGGAGAGAGTCCCAAGTGGGAGACAGAAGCATGGTTTCCAGTTCCTTCTCTGCCAGGAACTCAAGGGAACCCGGAGCAGCTTGCTTCTGAATGTCAGGCCTTGAGAGTTTCCTTAGAGAAAAATGCAGGGTGGGTCTTGGTAATACCGTGGAAATAGTCAAGGATGTCCTGTTTAGACCAAGGGGACAGAGGAAGAGAGGTGCTCAGGAGGCAGGAAGAAGAAACTCCAGAGAGAAGGGAGGAAAATAAGTGGAAGTGAGGGCCTCTATCAGGCCTCGGCAGGCCAGCCAGGCAAGAAAGCCAGCCAAGGGCGAAATGAGGACAATTCTCCATGGATGTGTCAAGTCCTGAGCCAGGTGCTTTATGTCCATTGTCTCTGTGGCCCTCACAAGGTTCCTAGGACACAAGTACTATCCTTATCCTGTGCCACAAATGGCGAAACAGAAACTCAACCCTGGGAAGGGGCTCCTGACAATTCATTTATTCATTCCAGGAACAAATGTTTATTGAGCAGCTACTCTGTATAAGGCATGGTGCCAGACATGGAGAGTATCTGTCTACAGTCCTTTGTCATTGACAAAACACTTGCAGGAGAAGAATTTTGCTTGAGTGTCATCAGAGCCCTGAGA